CTGTCGACCACGACCCTCGGCTCTCGGTTTAGGGTTTTAGGGTTTAGGGTTTCGGACTTAAGGTTTTAGGGTTCAGTTTGGGGTTTAGGCTTTGAGGTCGTTATGGGTTTGGTTCTCTAAAGTAGGGTCCTTTTCGGATGTCCTTTTCATAAGCGTGCCGTACTAACCCTAATTTGGAAAGCTACCCATCGGGGTGGGATTTAGGGCTTGGGGTTCTATCATACGCGTTCAAGGCTTTAGTAATTTGGGTCAATGGGGCATTCTGGGGCCTTGGGGTGCTCCTGTTGTAGGTCCTTGTGCTGGGTGAGTCTAAGATTTCGTTGGTGTTTGGGGCTCATGGTGTGGATGACGCACCGTCAGGTGATGCACCCTCATCCCTAAACCCTAAACCCGAAACCCCTCAACCCTAAACCCTAAACCCTGAACCCTAAACCCTAAACTCCAAACCCCTCAACCCTACGTAGTGCCCTATAAACCCCTAAACCCTAAACCCTAAACCCTAAACCCTAAAATCCCCTAATTCCCAAGCCCCAAAACCCTCTCTATGCTTCGGGTGCACTGTTGGGCTCGAGCCGAAGGGCTTCTGCAGCTTCTTTGAGCTATAGATCGTGGGGTTTAGGGTTTAGGGTTTATGGTTTGGGGCTTCACAAGCCTTCCCACCCTGCATATCAAAGTACTTTGGAGACTCCGAGTTGATAACTACAGCTCCATTGTCTGCAACAGTTCCTGTCCTAGGGACACCATTAATCATCACCGTAACCGTGCCGCCCACACCACTATACCCAACTACCCCCAACCCCTTCTCTATGGTATCCGGGGCCCATGCCGAGGAGAGGATGGTTTAACGGCTCAGCCGCTTAGCCCCAAGCCCCTAAACCCTAAACCCTAAAAAGGCGGACGCGAAAGGCCCGGCCAAACGAAGCAACAAGCTCCAAAACAGGTGGCTAAACCCCCAAGGCCGCAAGAAAGCGACAGGTCAGACATTTTGTGGCAGACCTCTGGGTTTAGGGCTCAGGGCTTAGCTTTAAGGGTTTAAGGATTTAGGGTTTAGGGTTTAGGGTTTAGGCTTAAGGGTTTAAGGACTTAGGGTTTAGGGTTTAGGGTTTCAGGATTTAGGATTTAGGGTTTAGGGTTTAGGTTTAAACGGTTTAAGGATTTATTTAGGGTTTAGGGTTAAGGATTTAGGGCTTAATGGCAGGCTTGACAGGCTGAAACACCCACACCCTACAAGCCAAGTCGACACAACACCGTTAAAACACCACGCTCCGAATCTTGAATCAGCCTAAACCCTAAACCCTAAACCCTAAACCCTAAACCCTAAACCCTAAACCCTAAACCCTAGACCCTAAACCCTAAACCCGAAGCTGCAACCCTAAACCCTAAACCTAGGCCTAACGCGGCACTTTGGGGCCTCTTAGGCTGAGTTTCCAGACTTCCTTGGAGGCCTCGGGGCTGCTTTGGTCTATGGGAGCTGTTAGTTTAGGGTTTAGGGTTTAGGGTTTAGGGTTTAGGGTTTAGGGTTTAGGGTTTAGGGTTTAGGGTTCAGGGTTAGCAACGCGAAAGATGTAGGCAAGCAAAGATGCTGGAAAGAGTTTATGGCTTCGATGTTGTCACGGAAACAGCCACCTGAATCAGAATGCAGTGTCTGATGATGCCGGCCTTGACCCCTCAAAACCCAAAACCCCAAACCCAGAACACCAAACCTCGCGTACAATATAAACCCGAAACCCTAAACCCCAAAACCCTAAACCCTAAACCCTAAAACCCTAAACCCTAAATCCGGAAAAATCGCACAAACGCCGAAACCCAGAGCCCGGCTCACCCCGCAATGCCCCCGCCAAGAGGCCCCGGGTCGTTTCCGGCACGTCTATAGCGACCTGACGCCGCAAAAGGAGGGTTTAGGGTTTAGGGTTCGGCGTTTAGGGTTTGGGGTTTAGGGTTTAGGGTTTAGGGTTTAGGGTGGAGGGGTTTGGGTTTAGGGTTTAGGGTTTTGGGTTTGGGGTTTAGGGTGTAGGGTTTGGGGTTTAGGGGTTTGGGCTTATGTGATTGGATGCAGGGTTTACCTGTGGCTCCAACTACCTATACTATAGCCTATCATTGACGGGTCATAACCTTTAGTGTTTAGGGTTTCGGCTTTAGGGCTTTTGGAACTTTAGGGTTTGGGGGATTTAGGGGTTTGGGGTTTAGGGTCATAGCGGTGAAGGCTTCACCTATGGCTTTGGGTGTGGTCTGAGGAGTGTAGGATGGTTTAAAGTTTCCGGGTGCATCAAAATGGAGCCATACAGAACGAATTTAGGCATCGCAGCTCCCATGTACGGCTTCAACGATCGAGAGCATGGACAGCACGGTGGGTTTAGGGTGCAGGATACCCTAAACCCTAAACCGTGCTTCGCAGCCCCCTCCGTACTCCGTAACCCTAAACCCTAAACCCTGAACCCCTAAACCCTAGTACTTGAGCGCCAACACCCTACGATCGTATAACCCGCGACCGCCAAGAGCATCGGCTGCCGAGGTCAAGAAATCCGTGAAAGCCAGAGGAAGCGCCGATTCAGGGTTTAGGGTTTAGGGTTCTTCACCCCTAAACCCCACAGAATCTGACAAACCCTTCGCACTCACCCTAAACCCCAGATGGCCTGGCCCGGCTGGTGGACCGATTCAGCCGCCATGGGGGCCGGAGGAGGTCTCCTGCCAAAGGGTTTGTTCCAATGCTTTTAGGGATTAGAGACCCTAAACCCTAAACCCTAAACCCTAGGGTCTAGGGTTAAGGGTTTAGGGTAGTCGTAGGGTTCGGGCTTAGTTTAGAGGGTTTGGGGAGGTCAACATGTAGAGGTTGCAGGCACTGGTCGAAGATGTAGAAATTCCTTGTAAACGGTTTAGGATTTCCCTGGTATAGTGCTTCCCGTATAAGTTACAGAGTTCGTTGTAGGATAAGAGTAGAGTCTGTATGGTTTGTGCGATAAGGCAAACACCCACCAACAACACAGTGAGAAGCAATGCTTTGCTTATGAGAACCCACTGCCAATCAGACATCCGATCCGTACAAAACTCCATTCCACCTTTAGAAATCACAAAAGTTGAACATATAAATACATGTCTATGAATTTATGAACTATGTATGTTCATTTGTCTTGGAGATACCTTTTTAAGAAACCATAGCCCAACCCCACACCCAAATCCTACACCCCAAACCCTTGACTCTAAACTTTATCCGCCCGAAACCCAACCGGGTGCACTCAAATCGTATGCAGGCCGCACGCCGGAGACATGACATATCCCCTACTGCAACACCTAAACCCGAAGCCCTTGGCCAAGGCCTAGTTATATCCTAAATCCTAAAAACTCTAGAAACTTAGCACGAGACCCCTATCATGGACTTAACCTAAACCCTAAAGCCTAAGCCGAATCAGACACTAAATCCCACAACAACCCCAGAAACTTGAAATCAGGCCTATAATGTACCACAAGGACCGACCAACCTCTCTCGCAAGTTGGTGCTGGGGGGCGGCGACAGCGTCGGACGGAACAGGGGAAGCCTGGCGGTGAATACGTCCTCTTAGGGGCTGAGTACCCTAGCCCAAAAAAGGTTAACCTTTTAAATTAGAGTAGCATGATATAAGCCCCAAAAGGTTAAACCCTAAACCCTAAACCCTAAACCCTAAACGAGTAGGATGATATAAGCCCCAAAAGGTTAAAGGTTCCCTACTGAGCCTCTGAGTCCTAAAAGGGTTCATACGAGGGCTTTTGGGGTGCTAGGACTTAGGGCTGTAGGGTTTAGGGTTTAGGGTTTAGGGTTTAGGGTTTTAGGCTACATCTAGGACATTTATAAGGGTTTATAATAGGGCTTTTGGGGTGCTAGGACGTAGGGCGGTAGGGCTACATCTAGGACATTTTCAGGTGGGTGGTTACCGTTATAGGAGCCTTATAGAAGGTCTATCTACCTTATAGAGGCCTCAGAGAAGCCCTATATACCCTAAACTCCCCACCTGTAGTTTTCTCTAACTATAAGCTTGTAGGGTTTGGGCTGTGGGGCTGCAGGGTTGTGATTTTGACTCAGGAGGCTGTAGGGTCTAGGCTTGAGGCACAGGACCCGAAACCCCAAACCCTGAACCCTAGCACTGTCCTGATGTTAGAATAGGGTTTTGAGGGGGTTCCTCAAATATAGTTATAGTATAGTATGCCCCCAAACCCTCTTCTAATCATTCAGGCCCCTATATTACACTCTTCTGAAGGCCCTTGGTGGAGGGTAGTCGAGCTGCAATCGAGGGCAGTCGGGGGTCTAAGTCGGAATTCGGTTCCGGAAGGTCTGTCGTTTCAGGTGTTGGCCAGTGTGAGGGGCGCTTGAAGGGCTTTCGGGGTTTAGACTCTAAATCCGAAAACCAAGCCCTAGAATCCTGAAGCCACCAACTCTAAACCCCGAACCCTTTAAGCTAATTGAGAGCCTTCGGCTTCTCTTGCCAGATCTTCCGCTCTGCCGGCTTTCCCTACCAGCCGAGGGGCCACGGGGTCTCTGCTGACAGGTTTCAGGCCATCTCATGGGCAGTTCTCTAAATCAGGGTCCCTTTTTAGGGTTTAGGGGTTTAGGGTTTAGGGTTTAGGGTTAGGTCCCGAATATAGAACGGCAGCCTTTAAAAAGGACCCTGCAAGGGACCCTAATTTAGAGAACTACCCTCATGATCCACACAAAGGCAGAGCCAGGAAGTGGAGACCCAGGCCCTCCTAAACCCTTAAACCCTAAAC